GAAGCTCTCACAGTGGGTTCCTGGGTGGGCACTGTTTGGAGCACAGCTAGAAATAGTTAAATTGTTGGAGTTTCTTGAATGAGTAAAAGGTTTCAGTAGCAGGCAGCACATTGGGCCAAAGATGGTTTTGGCCACTTTCGGGAACCGCTCTGAGGAAGTGCTCTTTCCTGAGTGCTCTTACAGGCCTGAGTAAGAAGTACAGTGAAGGCTGCTGCTGAGCGCCACTGGGCAGAGAGGCAGGCTTGTAAGAACACGAGTGTTTGTCTTCATCACCCACAATGATCAGACTTGACAATATGTAAGTTATGCTCTTACCCAAAGTGAAAATGACCATGACGGGGGACCTTTTTGAATTCATTCACGATATCTAGGCAGCCAGGACAGCACAATTAGAAATGCTCATGAAATACCCATGGAAGAAGACTTCCAGAAGTGGCAAGAATGATGGGAAATGTATGATGAAAGCAAGAGGGTGTATTTTTAGAAGATGAGTGGTAATTCTTTTCCTGTAATACTTGTAAAAATTTATACATTCCCTGTGTATTTCAATCATACCTCATATGAGCTTAACATTTGTTGAGTGAATAATTGAGTTGATTAAAAGCTAGGAGAAACATACATATGATAGTGAGAAAAATGCAGTCACCCAACTTCAATGGAGCTCTTTGTATTGTGGAATATTAATTCAATTCAGATACAGCAGCCCTTCCTATCTATGAGTAGCGCATCCATGGTTCCAACCAACAGCAGATAGAAAACTTTGAAACCATAATGTGTCTGTCATGAGCATATGCTGACATTTTCTTACAATTACTCTCCAAAGAACACAATATGACACACATATGGTAACACAGAACAATTACTGAGATGGTGTTATCATTGAATGGGTATTATAAGTGTTCTAGAGATGATTGAAGAAAAAGAGGTTATGCAGAGGTCCTGTGGCACTATATGTCATTATATATAAGGAATTTGAATATCTGACAATGTTGGTACAAATTCTCTTTGGAAATGAAAGGATAACTGTGTATATTTATGCTATTACAGTAGCACCTGTCACAGTACTAATTTTAATTTTCTCTGTTGACCCTTTCATGATAGTCATAATTTAAAAGGATACACTGCCATTCGAAACAAAAGTTTTAGACAAATGTGTAGAAAGAACACATTTGAAGTATTAAATAGAAACCATTTGTATAGAGAGATGAATTTGAATAGATATTCATGCAGGAAGTTAGTTTTAGAACAAGTTGGCAGACTCTGGGTCGCAACGTATGTCTCCCTGCAAAACAACAATTTAACCACTAACCCTCAGTCCATGATAGCTCTGAGGGAAGCCTAGAGTATAATAAATGGTGTGCAGCTATCCAACAGGGCACGAAAAATAAGATGGCCACGTAGAAAAGCATAGAAGGCACTTCCTCTGTGTCAGCTCTTCCCATTGCTTGGCACTGCTTAATGCCAACTGGCATATCCTCAGTTGCATCTTCCCCCCACAAATGAAAAGGCAGAGCAGAAAGTGTCCAGCAGCCCTCAGCACAAACCCAGCAACCCTCCTCATCACCAGGGATGCCTGCAGGTGTTACCAGAGAGGATCTCTGTGGTCTTGTTAAACCTGACCCCAGCTGAAGAGTTGCCTAGAGTCCAAGTCCTATGATCCTCTCTGCCCCAAGGACAAAGCCATGATCACCCTAGAGCTGGAGCCTCCACTATTCTCTCTAAGAGCCGAAGCTGTTGTATATCCGCCCAATGTGTTAAGGCTTGTCCCCACTGAAGTTAGTGTGTAACGTCTGAAAAAGGTGACTACTACTTCAGATGTGCAGACATAAGAAAAAGCTCCAAGGAAAAAGAAACATGGCTACAAGAAAATATGACACCCAGTGCGTGCGCGTGCGCGCGCGCACACACACACACACACACACACACAGAAACACACACAGAAACACACCCCCCCAATGAATTTCCAGTAACCAATTTAAAAGGATGAAAATGGCATAATGAGAGTTAATGCAGACCAATGGGATAGACTAGAGAGGTCAGAAATAAGTCCATGCATCTACAGCCACTTGACCATCACCACGGGTACCAATTTCCTTTGCTCTAAGTGCAGAAGTTCTGGAGGCCTAAGGCACAGCAATGGTTCTAGGATTAACAGTAGTGTATCATGAACTTGATATTTTCCGACACGGTAGCTCCAATGTGCTTTCACCACATGCAACAATTTTTTTTGTGAGAGTGTCTCACTACAGAGTTCAGGCTGGTTTTGAACTCATATGGAGTCAAGGCTGGCCTCAGACTTGAAGTGATCCTCCTGCTTCAGTCT